AGAAAAATGGAGGACATGACCAACAAAACCCCCAAAACATTAATAAAATAAATAAACATTAATAAATGTTCTGCCGAAAGCGCAGAAGAGAGGCAGCAGTGGCGGCTGAAGAGGCCCCAAAAAGCGAGGCTTGTCCTTGTGAGTTGCCGGGATGTGCGCCAAACCTGGGCCAGGACATTCAGCACTGGTCAAAAACCATGAATGTCCTGGCCAAAACTGGGATATGGCAACCGTAGGTAGGCAGCCAGCATGGCATAGTGGTTTGAATGTTGGAATGCGTGACTCTGGAGACTAGGATTCAAATCCCTCCTCAGCTGTGCAAAACCACTCGGTGACTTTAGGTAAGTCACACTTTCTCAGCCTTAGAGGAAGGTAAAGGCAAACCTCTTCTAAGCCAATTCGTTAAGAAAAATCTCTTAATAGCCTTAGGGTTGCCACGAGTCAGGAATGACTTGAAGGCACAAAACAATGGTAGCCCACGAGTTAAACGTGACTCAAGAATGTGATGCAGCAGCCACAAAAGCCAAAGCAATTCTAGGCTGCCTCAAAGGAAAAAGCAGAGCCACTCTGTTCCACTTTTGCTAGATTTTGTTGGAATCCTGTGATCACTTCTGGGCATCACAGTTCAAGAAGGATATCAACAAGCTGGAATATGTACAGAGAAGTGTGACCAAGATGGTCAAAAGTCTGGCAATCAAGCCTTATGAGAAATGGCTTTGAGAGCTAGGGATAGAATCATGAGTTTATCACACGGGGGAAATCCCGTGCGGAAATCCCGTGCAGAAAATCCAGAAAGTAAAATGAAGCAGTTTTTGATGAGTTTCCGTTCGGATTAACCTCATTTTAACTTCATTTTAACAGTGACCTCGTCTGAAAATCTAGCCGCTTTTGCTTTTTTTTTTTTTTCTAATTTAAAGCCTCATTTCTGCACAGGATTTCCCCCGTGTGATAAACTCCATAGAGTTGGAAGAGACCATGGAGAAGACTGAGAAGTGGTCTGACAGCTACCTTTAAAAGTCTGAAAGAGATGCCATGGAACCAGCTTCTTTTCTGCTGCCAGAAAGACTAGATAACATAGAATCATAGACTTGGAAGAGACCCGCAAGGGCCATCCAATTCACAATTCAAAAAAGATGTTGACAAACTGGATGGTGTCCAAAGGAGAGCAACAAAATGGTGAAAGATCTGGAAACCATGCCCCATGCCCTATGAGGAGCAACTTAGGCAGCTGAGTTAAGAGCTGATATGATAACCCTGTTTAAATATATAAAGGGATGTCACATTGAGGAGGGAACAAGCTTGTTTTCTGATGCTCCAGAGACTAAAAACCGAAACAATGGGTGCAAGCTGCAGGAAAAGAGATTCCACCTCAACATTAGGAGGAACTTCCTGAAAGTAAGGGCTGTTCAACCGTGGAAGACACTCCCTCGGAGAGTGGTCATATCTCCTTTTTTGGAGAGTGGTCATATCATCCATCTTTTAAGAATGTTTTGATTGAGAGTTCCTGCATGGCAGAATGGGGTTGGACTGGGTGGCCCTTGGTGGTCCCTTCCAATTCTAGGATTCTTCAGCCATTCCTGCATGGCTGAAGGGATGCCTCTTGGGATCTCCTCCAGCTCTAGCATTCTATGGCTAGGTGTTGGGACGATACCATCCCGGCTACCCTAGGACCTACCTACTATCTATCTCCTCACCTTCTTCCTCTCTCCGCAGGTGGCCAGGAAGCTCCAAGAAGTCCGGGACATCGTGGAGAGTGGCTACAACAACCCCTTGCTGTTCTTTGTCCTCTACAAGGCCCTGTCCTTTGTCCTTGAGCTGAGGAACACGCTGGATAAGGGATTTGAAACAGCAGATTAGGACAAATCATAATAATAATAAAATTTATTTGTATCCCGCTTATTGCCAGACAATCCAAGCAGCTTACAATAATAAAATAAAACCTGCTTTGAATGCACAGTGGCCTCCGAGTGTCTCTTTGGTCAAAGGGGTTACAGAGCATGTCTACGTAGGTCCATCTGTGAAGGCCAGTTCCCTGGACAGGACAAAAGAAGATGTGAAATCTAAAGCTAAATGCAAGGGCCAGTGTGGTGCAGTGGTTTCAGCATAGGACGACAACTCTGGAGATGGGGGATCAAATCCCTGCTTGGCCATGGAAACCCGCTGAGTGGCTTTGGGCACACTCTCTCAGCCACAGAGGAAGGCACAGGCTTTTGAACAAATCTTGCCAAGAAAACTCTATGGAAATGACTTGAAGGCACACACCAACAAAGGCTGCATCTGCATTGCAGAAATAATGCAGTTTGACACTGCTTTGCCATGGCTGCATCTTAGGGAATCTTGGGATTTGCAGTTTGTCGTGGCACCCGAGCTCTCTGACAGAGAAGGCTAAATAGCTCACAAAACTACAAATCCCAGAATTCCACCACATGGAGCCATGGCAAACTGCATTATTTTTACAGTGAGAATGCAGCCAAAGGTAAATGCATCAATTAATGAATTGCAGATGTCTTTTGTGGGGGCTCACTCAGAAAGCCTTCTCAGTAGTTGCTCCTAAAAAATCATTAAATACTACCAACATTCAAACATAGGTAAAAAACAGGAAAACTCATTAAACATAAAAACAGCACACCACACAACACTGCAATTCAACACAAGGGTTGCATAATTAACGTATATAATTAACTTGAACTCCTAGCACAACAAGGCAAATAGGCATCACTGAAACCTGGTGGGATGAGTCTCACAATTGGAATGTAGGAATAGAGGGGCATAACCTTTTTAAGAGAAATAGGCCAAACAGGAAAGGAGGAGGAATAGCATTATATGTCAGGAATGTTTACACCTGTGAAGAGATCCAGGACTTAAATCCTGGAAATCAGGTGGAGAGCATCTGGATAAAAACTAAAGGGGACAGAAACAACAGGGATGTTATAGTGAGAGTCTACTGCAGACCCCCAAGTAAGACTGAGTAATTGGATGATGCCTTTCTAGAACAGATGACCACACACTCAAAAAGGAGAGATGTAGTAGTGAAGGGTGACTTTAACTATCCTGATATTTTGCTGGAAGTCAAACTCAGCCAATATTTCAAGGTCTAGCAAATTCCTCACTTGTCTCGAAGACAATTTCTTTTTCCAAATAGTGGAAGAGGCAACAAGGAGATCAGCTATTTTGGATCTGATCCTAACCAACAGGGATGACCTGGTCAATGGGGTGCAAGTGGTGGGATCCTCAGGTGGGAGTGATCATGTTCTCCTGGAGTTTCTTATACAGTGGAAAGGAGAAGCCAGGTCAAACACTCATTCTAGACTTTAGGAGAGCTCATTTCATCAAACTTAACGAAGCACTGGGAGTGATCCTATGGTCAGGAATACTAAAGGAGAAGGGAGTTC